TTTTTATATACTTCAACAGGTTAGCGTGGAGACCTGTAATATATATATATATATATATTTTAATTTTAAGTAATTAATAATAAACAATAAAATACAGGTTACTCGTTAGGCTATGTGTTAACAACGATATAAAATAGGCCTGAAATCAAATTTGTTTACTTTTAATAGTTTTCGTACTCCATTGGTTCTGAGGTAATTTTGAATATAAATAAAATATTAATGTCACGTATTGGTCATTGTTTAGCGTTGGTCCAGTGACCTATAGCCTCAAAATATATAGTCATGCACAGAAGGTCGTTGACTGAATAAGTGTGTGAATATTTCTCCAACAAATAAGGTATCGGAAAAAATACTTTCATGACATATATTACAATACATGAATGATGATAACATCTGATTAGTAAAAAAAATTGAATGCCTTTAATTTTAGCAGCAAAAGGTTTTTGAATTGGTACACATTATAGTATAGACCCTTTGATAATTAATACATAAGTGACGATGGGTAAAAAATTAGTAATTATAAACAAAGTAGAGTTCATTTTAATTTTGTGTACTGTGTTTGATACAAAAACATATATACCTACTTAATTAGCCTTTGATAAAAATATATAATGACAGAAGGTAATGAATTTGATTTATGTTAGTTAATTATTATATTTTTGTAACCAATATAAAAATAATTGATTAATTTGATGAGAATAATTAAGAAAATGTTCGCTTAATGTTGTTTCAAGTCATGTCATATTAAGATTTACATAAAAAAAATGTTTTTTGAAAAAGTCAACATTAAAAAAAAATTGTATAGTTCTTTAACCATTGCTGAATATATATTCACTTTTTATATTCTGTGAATTTAGTATTTACACTTTTTTCATACTACTACAAATTTTAATATCTAACTGCACGTGTAATTACTTTTCCTTTTATTATAATAAAAAAAAATGCATAAAAGCAAATTATAAGCTACCTGTTCACTCCTTTGAAAAAAAAAATTCATTTAAAATATAATATGCGGCTGGTGGTCTTTGAAGTCTTACTATACATAGATATTTTTTAGCCATTAGTGTAGCCTGTAGAGTTTGTTAATCACAAAGGATGTATGTATTGTACATATATACAAACTTATTCTTTACAAAAAAAAAACTTAGTTTTTGTTTGGCATAGAAGTTATGAATTCTTTATTATATGGGCAAACTCATGTACTATGTACACATAGGTACTATATATGTACAGTTTACACATATGTGTGTGTGTGTGTTAAACTATTAATTTCATTTTATGGAACAGGTCCAATTAAAACTTAAGTTTTTTAAACTTTAAAAAGTTGGTGATATTTGTTGTCAATATTTTTTTTCAAATTGAAAAGGCAAATTTCGATTATGAGAAATTTCCCATTTTCAAACTAGCCACTCTGCCACTGTCAAGCACTATTATTAAAAATAAATATACAAACCTAAGCCTAGAGCATGAGGTATATAAACTAATTCACCCTTATTATAAAGCTTATTGTCTAACAATATCTTATTATTCTTCGAGACTTTTGAATGTGTTCTGAGGTATATACAATTATAATTGCCTAAAAACACTCGGGGCATGTGGTTAATTTTTAATTGCCATACTATTCGGTAGCTGTAGTTAAACTTCAATGGCTATTGTTTCTATAACATTGGAGAGACGGTACTTGTTTAATAATAATAATATTATACAAAACCCTTATATTGTTTTGTGTGCGTCGTAGCAGAACATATTAAAAATGTCAAAAGTTAATGTAATTTATGTGTTTCCATCAATATAAAAAACAATTTTATTATATGTACCTACATCGTCGTGGATACTTGCGGTCAACATGTTTTTAAGGGATTTAAGTAGAATTTTTTTATTATTATTATTATTGTTATTGAAAACTGACGCGTTAAGTTTGTTGTCGTTTTATAAGGGCATTGATGTAATTTTTTTTTTTAAGCGTGAAGCGTTCACTTGTATAAAGATTGTGGCATAAAGATTTACACTGACGCATAATAATATGAAAAACTGACTATACTATAATATAATACAATGAAACGAGAAAACTGAAATCAAGGCCATTTTGTGGTCTCGGTGGATCGAATTAGTCATCTGATGATATAATAGATATTTAGTTGGCCGATCGCAAAATAAGATAAAACATGGTCCTGTGTGAGACCACTGTAGGAAAAATGATCATTAAATTGTTGTTTCAATGGCCAATGGTCATTTCGATGGTGATGAGTGCTCGCATGGAAACAATAGCTGTTCGCTGGCTTCGTTTGTGTTATTCAATTATTCTACATTTAATGAAAAATGTCCATACTGTAAAAAAAGTCTAATAATTGAAGACTACTATTTCAATAGACGAGAGCGTTTTAAATATTAACTGCACTCAAAATTAAATCACAATCTTAAAAAAATGAAAAAAAAAAACATACACTTACAACACAAATTAGTCCACACGTTTTTATAAGTTAATAACAATATTGAATTTGAGCTTAAACGAAAATGTTTTTTTAAAGAATTTTTATGTTATTTAAATAATAAACAGTAAGAATTTATAGCTACTAAACTAATTTTATCAATAAAAACATTAATAACTTTTCAGTTCGACTGAAATATTCAATAATAATTATGCTTATCTTTTATTACCGCTTGCACATATTAGCTGGTTTTTTAATAGAAAAATAGTATACCTACATATTATTATACACATAGGTTTTTTTATCCGCTATTTGTGAAATATCAAGTTCATGGAATATTATAATACTGCTGTTTTTTTAGACCGGGACTTTATTTCATTCATTAAGTCGTATTAACGACATTAAAATGTAAATATAATCATCAGGTAATGCGATGAGTATTAATCAGAACGACTTTTAACCTTCAGTTTCGGCATCTTTACCAAGAAATAATTTGCCTATGTAATTTTACCAAATGATAAATTATTTTGTAACGGTTTTATTATGAATCGTTCATAAAATGTAGATTTTAAAGTTAATTATACATTCAAGTTCAAAATAAAATAATAAAATTTTACAAATTACAAATGATCTAAAAACAATACTACAATGTTACTTCTGACTGAGATATATAGTCATTGTTTAAAAAAATTAAATAAATAACTATAGTAATTATTATACATATACAGCTTAAGAAGGTTTTAAAGTGTTTGTATACAAATTTCAAATACATATTTAAAAATAATTATATATTAATAATTTTGTTTTTTTGTGGGGCTGTTTATTATTTATAAATGGTGGACTGTAAATATTTAATACTTAAAGATGGTGTATAATTGATGTGACTAAAGCATGTAATTAAATTAAATTGATCAAGACCAACAACAGTAGCATTAATGTACTTACTAGTGTGCGGCACTCTGCGAGCCCTTGAAAAGTGCATTTTTATGTTGTAGGTTTTTATTATATCAAGTACACACTTATGCTCACTGTTCTCGGTGTTAATATAGTTTGTCGTACCGTTAGGTTATTGTACTTAGAAAGTGAAAATGCTCCATAAAAGGCAGTCATTTAAGTACATAATATAAATGCGGTTTATAATAAACAATTCAGCAATAATAATTATAAGTGTAGGGTCGTGCTCAAAATATTATATAAACTTGTCGATAACCGTTTTTTAATATGACCCGCATAACAAGTTACATACATAATATACCAATAAAAATAATTATAATCATTATATTATACGGTTATAAACGACTATCAAATATCGTGCAGAGTCTTATCGCCTCGTGAAGAAATCGGTCAAACACTTGTTTTCAGAATATTTACCTTAATGTTATCAGAGCTCAAAGTTAATAATATTTTTCAGAAAAAATTAAGAACAAATAAAAGAAGAAACATCAAAACAGCTTAATGGTACCATTATGCCAATTATCTATGTGTGTTTTATATTATGTATCAATGTATATTATACTTTTATGCACTTAATAATAATTATATAATTGACCATAAATATTTTATACCTGTCTATTAAATATTAAGGGCATTGAAATCTGACGGATTTTAAGGAGTTTTATATAGGAAATATTGAAGAAAAAAAAGGGTTTTAATAAATTTCGACCATTACAATTTTTCAACAGATTAATTTGGATAAGGTTCAAAGTGTTAAAAATGTTGGGTGATTTTTACCAGGCTTTAATCAATCGATTTTTAAATCTATAAAGATTTTTTTTTTAAATTAAAGCGAGAATAATATTCGAATATATTATTATTATAATAATCCTTGTTGGTCACTATGTATATGTAGGTTTTACCCTTAGGTTTTATGAGTTATTCACAGCCTAAACACCGCCAAGTGTATTTAGCACCTATTCCGTACATACTGCCCATATTATATAGTTGGTCACTCAAATTGGTAGTTATTCATCGCAAAAAAAATGTCTTACAAACTTTAGAGAGCGCTTAGTTTTTAGATAAAACCAAAGTGTACATTTATTATTACACCAATAAGGACTTATTACGGCGGCTATAATAATGTTTTTAAATCATTTTTTAACCTCGTGGGCCGTGGCAGAAACCATTTGCTTTGCCCATGGATAGTCCATGAAGAAATTTATATAATAAAATAATATAATATTTCTGAGGTTGTACGTTAGCAGATTTTTGAAAAATTTAAAGAGTTTATTTTGTTTGATAATATACATTGAAAATCTTGCTGAAAAGACCACAAAACGGCGGTTTCTTACAATTTTGTAAGCGATTTTAAAAAAAAAGCAAAACGCGCTAAAGAAAAAATGAGGCCAAATTTGGGTTTAACGACGGAAATGTCCCCAAAAAAAAAAAATAGATGTATTTTAGTTTTTGTTCCAATATAATGCCAATTTTCTAAGGGGAGCTTTAAGATAATATTATCCGAGGGAAAGGTCTAAGTCTCTCCCCCTCCCCCTATATTTGCATTGTCTGTCATTGTCCATGTAATTTACTGATTTTGTTCCACTGATTCCATTGTTGTTGCGGTTGTTGTTTCAGTTGAGTAACATCAAAAGCTGCTTGGACCTTCTGGAGACGCTCGGCGTGACGTTGGACGGCATCACCGCGCACGACGTCAAAGAGGGCAACCTCAAGGCTATTTTGGGTCTGTTCTTCGCATTGTCCAAGTACAAGCAGAAACAGAAACAACAACAGAAAGCCGACCAGAGTACCGGCAAATCCAGGATACCCACAGACATGAAGCAGCAGCAGCAGCAGCATCAGCACCAGCACCAGCAGCAATCAAGGTAATATATAAATCCACTATAGGGACGGTATAACAAATGATAATAGACGTTTGTATAAAGGGAGACCCGCGTAGGATGAGCGATGGGAGAAGAAGGGATGGGAGAAAAAATGAAAATAAATTACGTCATTCTGGACGTGGTGTATACAATAAGGGTGTGGACCCTTCACGTCCCTTTTACACATCCCAATAATATAACAGACTATAAGGCTGTGGGTGTTCTGACTGTGTTCAGTTGCAATGGGCAATTCAAACAGTGCACGTCACCGTCACGAGCAGAAACAGTCCAGGAGTGTCCCGTCGTCTCCCGAAGTCCGATTGAGGAGGTTCTCTGGATTTCAATCATATTATTATTTACTTTGATATCATACCTCTGTTATTATATTCCTCCAATGTATTTACAAGATTAAATAATATAGTAGGCATTAGGGTCGGTATTGTGTACATCACAGCCCACAGGAACTTGGGTTCGGGTAGCTGCCATTATCTGTAATTGTTATTTATTTTTAATTGTTTTGTGTTTGCAGACTTCCTGGACCTACCCTTCACTCTGGCAACATAACAAGTATACCCACCCCGTTCGCACAGAGGTTCCATCACTTGCAAAATACACCTGCAGCAGTTAACAGTGAGTATTTTTTTGTAATTTTTTACCTCGATGCACCTTTCCCACGACAACATGTGTTGGTAAAAAAATAATATTAATTTAATATTTGTAGGGGAAAAAACCATAAACTAACAATTATTATTGTTCCGTTTGAACCCATCTTAGAAAGCGAATCGTTTTAGATAATAGTTAAAATTAAAAACATAAATCCTACTTCTAAGTTCACAGACATTGCATTTCTGGCCAAAAAATAACTAATAAATATGTTTTTAAATGTTTACAATCGTAACGCCAAATTTGTTTATATTTTCAAAACTTTGTATAAACAAAAATATTGAAATCATGTTTGGCAGAATTTTGAAAAAGTTTTACATAAAAATATAGGTACATTTGTTTTATTGGTTAAAATTTAGTCTTCTGCTTTGTCGAATTTTACATCATAAAAAAAAAATATAATTTTCTATTGTTTGAAACAATAACTATACTTTATACACGTTATAATTAAATACATACAAACATGTTTTTATTCGCCACACATAACAGGCGCACTATCTATCTAAAAACATATTTTTTATTGTTTACATACCATTAATAATCTACCTTAGAATAATTGATGAAGACAGGTTCAACAATTATTATTATAAAGGAATAAAACCCGCGGTTATACCTGTTATTATAAAAAAAATATATATATTTTTTACCTTTTATATTTATAATTTATACCCCAAAAAAACCTACTGACATTAAACATACTATTTTTGTTCAATTGTTTCCCCCCCCCCCCAAAAAAAAAAATCAACATAATTAAATAATAATAGCTATAAACGATACTGTTAGAAATACAATATACCTATTTTTTTTTTTATATTTTAGTCTGAATTAAGAGGGCGTCGCACCAGTAATTTTCAGTGGTGAAAACATGTTTAAGCAGACTGAAAATAACTAGCTTAATTTTGGTTTTAGAGGAAAAGCACCATTAAAATTAAAAGAAAACAATATTCCGGAGGGCAAGGCGGTGCGTTTTTTTTAAAATTAAGTTTTCGGAAAGTTACAGTCATTTAAAAATGTTAAAATAGTCGTTATTTCTAAACTATGTATTGAGCGTTATACTTAGAATAATGAAAAAAACGCACCGTCTTTGCCTCCGAAGTATTGTTGTCTTTTAATTTTATAATGGGTGCTTTTACTCTAAATCCAAAATTAAGCGAGTTATTTTCAGTCTGCTTAAACAAGTTGAGATGAAAAAACATTTTTAAATCGCTTTCAAGGATGCTGTGATAGTCCAAAAAATAAATTAACTACCGAAATAGAGTCCTAGTTATTGAACTAATAATTATTACACATCACAGTTTAACCTTTAAATTAAGATTTTATAAAAAATTGCCTATATTTTACGCCTTAAAAATGGGCGGTGCGACGCCCTCTTAAGTAGATATATTGAACTGTTTTCTATGCACATTTTTTGTCGAGTGAATTAAAATTATACAAAGCACGTTTATCAAATTTCGAGTCACCCCTTCCAGGGTTTAATTGTAGTCCACTGACGATTACTAATAACAATAATTATTATTCAGTCGTTCCCACACCCTCTTCGTTAGACATTTCCAACCGATGACGTCATCGCATGTGTGTGTAATAAAAGTGTGTTATAACAGCTATATATTATTATTATACCCTAAGCCTGTTGCTTTCTTATCATTTGTTCACAACATGTTATCTATACTACTCGAATATTTCAAACTTCTTATCTGTAGAGCCTCGACTGTTTTTTTTAATGTACATGAAAGGTCCTATTGACAATTAATAACACAAATCAGACTAATAATTATTTACCGTTAATAAAAAAGTAACAACATAAAACCAGATATTAAAAAAATTCACCAACAGCAGCAACAGTTATAATATTTCATTGCCCCAACTACTCAGTAATATGTATCACAGCGTGAGGATTGTGTTTATTTAAATTTTTTTCATCTTAAATTATAGTCAATATTTATTGATTAACCGTTAAATGCTTTCATTCAGGTCCGTACACTGGCGTCAAGTGTGCGTCCAACAGTAGTTCTCGTTCGACCAGTCCTCATACGTTCATACCGTCGCCAAAAACAGTGATCAAGACACCTGTGGCTTACCCCAAGAACATCAAGTAAGACTTCCGACTGATCTGATGTTTAATTTTGTATAATACCAACACTATAGCATGTGTTAACTCTATTTTAGCCAAAAAAATGGAATTTCGATTAAAACCAACATTGCCAGCCCGTATAGTTCGGCCCAAAAGAACAGCATTTTATTGGAAAAACTGAAAGCGTCGTCCAACCAAAAAGAAAAATCCAATAAACAAGGTTTGTCGAACTACCCAAAGTTTTTTTATAATTTTAATGTTATATTATTATTGTAGTTCTCGCCAATACAAAAAGAACTTCGAGCTCTAGTGGATTTAGTTCGGCTCGATCTGAACGCAGTGATTCGTCAAACAGTCTCTCTAATGAACCCAAAACATTACCCAAGTAAGTCGACACGATAAATTGTTAGCAATAAGCGTGTTTTTTTTTTAATTTGATGTTGAAAATAATGTTGTTCAATTTTATTTTGTAGTGTTGAAAAAGTAGAAAACTCAACAGATATTTCAAAACCAGTTCTTAGGAAAAAAATTGCTCGTCCACCAGTTTCGGCAGAGAGTCGTCTTTCAAAAATTAGCACAAAATCTACAAGTCCACCAAAGTCGGAAAACGCACAACGGAAAAGTGGAGAGGTTATATTTATTATTGAAATAATAATAATAATATATAAATGTATTTAACATTTTATTATTTTAATTAGATATTAAACCCGAATAAAGAAGAAATAAATTGCTCGTCCACAATGGAAACGTCGCAGACTCAGTCGGTGAGACTTAGCGGAACTGGCATTCCTAAACCTGTAGCCACAGTGAAAGCAATGGCCAAACCGACACATACAGTAGCGCCGATGCAGCAAATTAACCCCGAGCTTAAAAAAGTGGACGACCTCGAAGAGAAAAATAGCGAAAAATTGCCCGAAATACACATCGACCACAAGAAGTCCGAAAATGTGTGTATAGATATTAAGTAGCGATAAAATATTTAGTAAAACATCTCGTATTATATGATGATAATTTTTACTTTAGATTTCTCATTTGGCGCCTAACGAAATTAAACACGATAAACAGAATTCGTTTACCGAGGAAGACGATCCGGCGTTAAATGTAAAGCCAATGGAACCATTGTTGAGAGGTTATAAAAGATCAATTATTGTTCCTCAACATCGTACTATACCTTCGGACTTGGGTACGGTTCATTTAAAAATATGAAAAAAAAAATGTTAAAAATTTAGAATTTACTACCAACCAACTGCAGAAACTTTCTACATAAATGTCTGTTTGTACTAAGTTTGGATTGTTTTGGTTTTTTTTACTTTTACTAACTACCGTTACGACTTAAGTGCAAATATGAATAGTAAAAATTCAGATATATTTTCACATCCTATTTTATTTATATTATTATCAGTTCTATTGGAAATTTGGCTGATTTCTATTTCAATACAAAATAATAGATTTTCACTGCCAAATCAATAATATCTCAATACTAGATAATATGTTTTATTCTTCAAAGTATATTTCTTTTATACCTATTTATATATTAGTTTTTACGACAACAATATGAAATATCAATTCAATTTATCTGCTATACCTCTCATAGGCCCCCATTCAATAATAATAACAATACCTAGTTTTATATTTTTTTTAACACAAAATACTAGACAAATTTCGACTGTCGTCTTTATTTTATGCACATATTCATTATGGATGTTGTATTTATATGTTCTTCACAGGATTAGCGCAAAATAGTTCTGTGAATAATAATTTTCAAGAGAAACGTATATCTGCAGACTCGGACTACGGTCATCAGTCGTCAGGTACGTCCGGTATAATTGATGTATTTCTTCATGGTCTGTCACAGCCATTGTGCTGTTTATCAGAAAATATAAAAGAACCGTTTTCTCCCAACAGGTTATGTTTCTGATGGAGATGTTCTTCAGTACGACATTCAGTCGAGGCAAACTCTGGCAACTGATCCGGGTTATATGTCCGAAGGGCCGACCTATAATGACTCCAAGTAAGTTTAAAATATTATAATAATAATAATAATACAAACAATAAGGTAATAAGTATACAGTAATAGTGTAGTTTTATTTGTTATGTTCTACCAAATGTTCTCTGAGTAAATTACTCCAACAAAATGTATGTTAATTTATAATTTAACCATTACAAATTAATAATTTCTTCTCGTGAGTTGAAAAGATTTATTAAATTTGTGAAATTATTCCACATCCCTCGTGTAGCTTAACAGGCCTTTAAGGTCCAACGCTCTCATCATGATGAAATGATGGTTTCTTTTGATTTGTGCAAATTTCTCGAGTAAATTATTGTTATCAATGTCTATATACCATATATTTATTTTACATTTTTTACTTTATTAAACTGTCGATGGTAAATAAATATATCTGAAGACGGCAGATTTAACTGGCCAACCCCATTTGTATGACAGATAAGGCATAGAATCATAAGATTAACTATGTGAATAGTAGGGAAGTCAATTTGAGAATTAACAATCGATTTTGTTGTTTTTGAGAATTATTTTTCTTTACTTGAAAAAAACTAAAAGACTTCCATTGTGTAACGATGGACAATCGTTTGCATTATGATGCTTGTTTTAGTGCAGCTATTTAAGTGGTAGTCACTATTGTCTATTAGTATTCCTGAGTAAGGCATATAGTGGTGATGAACCATTAGGTCTGGGAAGTCACTGGTCACATGACTTAAGGAATTATTTTTATCTAGATCATTATGATCATAATATGATAGTTTTTAAATAAACACTGATGTCATTTGAAATCACCAAGCTACCATATAATAACATTACTTTATAACTGCAAAATATGTTAATCTTTCAAAATTGGTCTTTGCTAATTGTAAGTTAAAACCTTAAATCCCTTATCCTTTGTGAGAGCAAAATATATATTCAATCAAACCTGGGAATAATAACAAATAACAGTTTGAAATTAATGTGTTAGTTGAAATACATAATCAATTAGAGCATCAAATAATTTTTCATTTAAAAAAAAAATTACATTTACTTAACTAAAGTACGTTTTTATTTAATGTTTCAAATAATTTATTATTTATAAGTTTAAATATTTATCTTTTGAACTTTTATTAAAAAACTATTTACAGTTCAAATTGAAATATATTTAAATCATTTATATTTGTTCAAATAAAAATAAAATTGTATTCATTCTTTGAGTTTTCATTGTTAATTAATTTTCATATAAATTAATTTTATTTTTTAGTAATTATTTAAAATTTGTTTTAAATTAAATGTGTGTATTAACATTTATTTGGCTTTGATACATTATACATTGATAATTTTAAATGTAAAAAGTAGTATCAATAACTCTTTTAGCAAACGTTTATTCTGAAACAATAAAATATTATTATTTTCAAAATAAAATTCAACTGTTAAATTCAAGCCCGGTTTGTACAGTTATTAGCTTGTAATTGTTCATTTTAATCAGTTGGTAGAATTTTGTTTAATTTCCTTGTTAATATCGTTTCAAGTCGTTGTGTGACCATCTGTCGTTTTATAATGTATTTTTTAACCGTTATCAGGTATACTGTTAAGTGTTAATAATGCGCATATAATCACATTGAAAATCAGAAAAATATCTTTGTGTTTTTTACATTTTTTTTCGCTCGTCAAATTATTATTTTCTTGATCGATTTGCTCTGAAAAAAAATCCAATAAAACCGTTTTATCGAAACTGTCGTACCACATTGTGTATTGGTACACACTAAACCGACTTTTCCATTTCAAATACAATATAGAAACGAATGCTTGTAATTCAGATAGGTGTTTTCTGCGATTTTCCGGTTCGTTATAGATTTACTGTCGATAATATATATTGTTATAACTTGTATTTTATTGACTTCGCGTACACGTCGTTAATAGTAATATAGTTAATTTATTTTTTACTCTCGCGGTTTGGTCGGCGCCACAATAAAAAAAAAACCAAAAAAAAAAAAATAGGGTGTAATCGAACACCGTTTTTTAGCTTTGCATGAGTCATCTTTCCAAAACGGGTCATGCATAACAAACTTGGGGTATTATATTGCACATGTCACGCAGTCATGCCTGAGACAATGAATATATACATTTTACTATTATATTATGCCTTTTCTAAATGCATAGGTACACCACCGGTTAATTTCATCGAAACCGATGTAATATATATTTTTCAAAATCCCTCTCCCTCCACCATTAGTTATCTAAGTATGACCGGTTTTTATTTCATTAAAAAATAAACACCCCACAAATCGTTTGAGCACGTTTGGAGTCCAGAGTTGGCAAAACCCTGGGTTTTTTTTTGGAAAAACCCAACCCACTTGGTTATTTAAGGGGGTTTTCGGTAATAAAATATCAAAAAGACAAGGAAACACAATGGGTTTTTTTTTAAATAAATACTACCAGGCCTGTTAAATGGGAAAAAACACATTCAAAACCCAACATAGTTTTTGACATTTCATGTCTGCCTCTGGCACATAACCGAAAAAAATCGTTACATAAACACTGTCACGCTGTTATCTGATAAGAGATAAGAGATGAGGGATGGGGTTAATTAGGCGTAATGCTAATTCTTGACAGTCAAAAAAGATAGGAGATAGGAGATACATAGGATATGGGTGAAGGATATATGATATAGATGAAGATGGGGGTGGGGGTAAGGATGGGGATGTTATATTTTTTAAATTATGTGTTGTATTCACAACGATCAAACTATAACTGAAAAATAAATTAAATAATTTAACAGGTCATATTCCCTATGAATTGTTTTAGGCCAGATATTATGAAAATAATATAATAAATGATATTATTAAAATATTAGCCAGAAACTTGATATGTTTACTAGCCACCTTAGATACTAGCTTGTTACTGCTTGTTAATATACTATTTCATTATCTATAATTCCACCACTACTCTAAATTTCTTCAGTACTTCAACGAGACATGAAAATGCTCTTTCGTGGTTGCAGATTAGTCTAAAACATTTTTTTTAAAATAGATTTCAATGATTTATAAACAAAATTTGACTTTAATTTTGACTAAAAAGCGACCTATAGTTTTGTGTACTTGTACAATTATTATTATTTCTTTGCAATATTACCAAAGAGATGTTTTCTTTTAGTTACCTAAGTACATAAATACAGTATTTTTCCAAGTACTTATTTTTTTTCAAAAGTTTAGTGGGATTTTACCTATGAAAAAAACAACCCTGGCTATTATATGCCACAACCCTGGTGGGAGATGGTAAACAAAGTGACCTTTTTCTATAAGCTGATATGTAAACGGTAGCAAAACAAATTTAAACATTATACAAACTGTGACAAATATGATAAAATGCATTCTACAAACTGCGACAATTTATTTGTAACATGTATTATTTTATAAGTCTATAGGAGTAAAAGTGCAAAAATTAAAATTAAAAAACAATTTTAAAATATGAAATTAAAAAATATTATTAGTTAACTAACATTAAAAATGATTGTATATCTAAATAGATCACATTGTCTAAGAAAATTGAAAATTGAAATAATATTACAATTATTGTTTACTTATTTTAATCTAATTTATTTAATATTTTGTTGTTTATTCTTGAAACATACGTGCGAGTGGATTTTTGAAATGCCTCAAATTTACATATCTTATGCAGATAGTTCCATTAAATCAGAAAAGTGAAGAAAACATTTTTTAAAATTTTTTTTTGGACTTAGGCTATTCCGAAAATTTGTTGTGAAAACACCTTAGTTCACGATCACTTTCACTAAACAATTTTAATTTAAGTGTTCTTTTTCATAATATACTTGAACAATTTTTTTTTTCAACTTTTTAAGTACTTTAAAACTAAAAAACAAATTTAACATTTTATGAATTTCATTCAATTTTTTTACTGACAAGGTCAAATCTTCAAAACTTTTTTTTACAGTTTTTTAATGATGTACAAGTAACTTTAAAGTTTGGCATTTTTTAAAAAAGCGCAATACTTAAGAGCCTAAAACTTTTTATGACATGAACCAAAAATTGGGAATTTTTTTAAAGCACTTACTTATATGTATGTAGAACATTTGGCAAAAGTTTTGTAATGGAGACTTTTTTTTTTTTTTTTTACTTACTTTTTTTTTGCTGTAAGATTTTGAATTTGTCAAATTTTGTATTGTAGGACTACGAATGAAATATTATTTATGATTAAAAATTTGTCCGATGAAGACCAGCAAGTAATAATTGGCTTAAGAATACATTTTTAATGTTTAACGACAACCACATACGCCACAAGGGTACACCCCTGATATAACAGTAATATTAAAAAAAAATGTTATTATTACTGAAACAAAAAAAAAAAATGTTATTCAGTGTCACGCAATAACGGCTGTTGTACAGTTTGCAAAAATCTTAATGGCAATTTAGTTTCATCAAAACCGAATTACGGGGTAATATCAGCAGGGGAGGAGGTTTTTTCAGAGGGGAAAATCCAATTGTTGTCAATCTTCTTCTGGGCGCGATAAACTCATTTGGCAAACAGGTTTAAACAATTTGTAGTTTCTATTGTATTTGTATGTATCACAACAAGCCGGCGGCCAGACGGAAGACCCCTCCGGCGGCCCTTCATCGATTATATTATTTCCCCACACTCCCACCCTTCGCCCAGACCTTGAACACCCTGCACCCTTTTCGCTGTTGTAAAACCTTATATCCCATATTTCCATTACGTTCAACGCCGCTAATCTTACTACACACAAGACGTATTATCCTCAAACCACTGCACAAGACACAACAAACAGACAGAGACAAGACGGACGGTTTTGTGTGAACTTGAGCTAGGTCGAAACTTTGGGGCGTTTTTCTAAATTGTATTTCAACGTCTCCAGTCTACCCGGACAGATGGCGCTTTTGTATATTGAAAAAAAAAAAACATTCTTTATAGAGGGTGTGAATACAATATAAGCGAGAAGAACGGCGGCGGTGTGCTTAATGTACACAGCCCTAAAAGCAGTCGACTACCGACAGTGGTCGTCGGTTGTGTTAGAACACACTGGGATTTTTTAAAAATTTTTATTTTTTATAGTTACTAAACATATATTACCTAACGCCAATAATATACCTGTGCTCTGTGTGTACTTCCCGTGTAAAAATTATTAGCATTATTAGCCGTAAATCACATCACATCACAGTCATAATATCACCTATCCAAAAGTAACATATTCGTATATTTTGTAAATGTGTTGTTAATAATATTGTTAAGTGTATTTGTTTGCTTGATTCTTGTCTATGCAGGTCCAATAGATTCCAGAGTTCAGCACTTAACTGCAAACTGAACAACATCCTACAGAATACCACTACTAATCATGTGAATTTGAAACAACGGTAAGAACAACAGCTTATACCATGATGTATAAATAGTTTATATGTTTGAAATGGTGATATTTTTTCAATCATTATTACCTTTGGCATCTGTTTCACAAGTTCAGAAGAAAAATACTAAACAAATATAAAAAAAGACAAACACATTAAGATAGATACTGACAAATGCATTAAGATCAAAAACGTCTTCGTTTTTTTTATAATGTCACTTGTGCTCTTTTATAGCTTTCATAATTTCAATTTGTATAGATTTCATACTTGATATACATTTTTTTGATTTCGAAAATTCAATATATTAAATTCAATCAAAATATTATATTTTAAATAAAGATCAGCATATACTTGCCTAGTAACAATATAATAATTGGCTTGTTGTTCATTCTGTTAAAATTTTGCCCTTTGTCCTCAAGCCCATAATTAAACTTATTGTTAATAACTTCTCGTTTGCTAACAGTGTAATATTATATAACATAATATATATATATTATATTATAACAGTGTATAATTATGTAAGCACATCTTTTTCAACAATTTTCATTTTTCAAAAACATATACTGATATAATTAAAAAATTGTACTTTTGGTTTTAAATTATTTGATCAAGTAACACCACTGACTTGACATATTAAATATACAATTTAATAAAAAAAATTGAGAATTATTAGACGAGAACATTATTTACATTAATACATAAATTATTAAATTTATACATTATATTTGAAAATATGATTTATAATTTATTAAACCGTTTTCTAGAATCGGTTCCGTTGACACGCTCGATACGAAAACAAAAGATCCAATCGTTACATTGGGAAATCAACAAAAAATCAAAGTAAGTAACTGAAACACAACTAACTAATTTAAACATACAATGTGTTGGGTAAGCAAAAATTAATTTTGTTATTTAAAAAGCTGAATCGGTTCAATGTTGGGCCTGACGGGGGCTCTTCGAGTCTGGGCCCCGATGTCAGTCCACCGACAAGTCCGCCAGAACCTACACCCGTGGCGCCTGTATATAAAGTCATTGCGCGCAATCATGTCAAAAAGGCGGATAGTGGACAACAAACGGAGTTGAACAGTTCCAGCTCTAGGTGCGTGTTACAAATATTGTGACAATAACTTAATAATATGCAATTTAATCACATTTTTATTTTCAACCAAAACAATACAGACAATCTTCTCAATGGAAGAAATATATAGAAGCCGGTAAAACCGCTGAACAGATGAGATCGAGCGAATTGGAAAGAGTACGAGACAAACAGAGTCCGAGGAGAACGGAAAAAAAGCGATCGATCGGTGATGATTTTATTTTATTATTATCAATTTGTTGTGTTGGAGTAAAAACAAAAAAAAATAACGAGCGAATTTCTTTTTAGATGGATCACGCGAAGATTTACACAACGTGGATTATATGGAGAGAAAATCACGTAGCGACAGAGCCAAAGGCGGTCGTAACGTCCCTCAGAGTTTTGGATACGTCAAACGTTCTACGTCGAGTTCAAACGGTGGCAAAGGCGATTCGAGGACCGCTCAAGTTTCGGCCGTTCCCAGAACTAAAGTGAGTAAAAATGATTATTATTAATCAGAGCGTATTTTATTTCAAAAAACTTAACATTTTGTCGTCTATATCAGGTAAAAGTCTCCGGCGGCACTCAGACCGATATGAAATCCTATTCGGTGAGCGGTCCAAGCGCTACACAGTTGTCGCAGAGTGTCAGGGAACGACTCATGGCGAATCAGTCGGATCAAGAACCCAAAATGAGCAGTCCTTATGGTACATGGGTGAGACGCAGTCCCGTTCCACCACACTATACAGCTTCTCTACCTTCTAGGACTGGAGCTATAGGTATTGTGAATTGTTAATCTTAGACCACAACCAAAGATTGGAAACGGCTTACAGCCAAAATTTCCATTTTACTTAACCTTGATTGAAATGCAACTGTATTGTGTTTTAATTAACAAGAAACCCTGTAAAGTCATTTACTTTGAAATGTGACTTTTTTTTTTAGTTAAATCCTTATTTAGTATTGTAGTGCAAAGTATTGTTTAGCCTATAGTTGTAATATTGTTAAAATATATACTCAAACATGGGCATTATTTAAATAATTTTTTTGATTTAAATGAAAGTACAAATAATTATTTAAAATCAAAACTTAACTAACTTAAATATAATTTTATTTGACAAATTTTCAATTTCAACTCTTAATACTTAAAAATAGAAATGATAATCAAAATAAAAAATCAGTTTACAAACAAATTTGAAATAATTAAATCAATTAGAATTTTATTTAAAACAATAGGTTGTTTGGATACAAATGTTTTAAATAGAGTTTTATATTTGGAATTATAAATAATTCATAGTTTTTAAATTATTATTTATATAAACAATTGCTTGGGTTTGTTTCTTATAATATACAAGTCATAAATATTTATCATGAAAACAATATTTTTGTATACTCTGTGAACCATTTCGGATCAAATCGTTTCATTTTTTCAGAACATTTTATTTCAAAGCGATGCAATATAAAAAAAAATGTTTTCTTGTGTACTTACCTAGAATGAAAAAAACATTATTTTTTTTTACTTTAAGAGTAACTTGTTCTAAACCCTTTAATGTAATTCTTGTATTATGCAAGTTTAACATTACGGCAACTACCACTACTGCCAATCTCATACATTAGCTTGAAATAAATATTTATAATTAATTGAATGGTGTGTTGTTTGTTGATTAGGAGGCATGATTGAAGCGGAAAGTATAGAATCACTTCCGGCACAGCTGCATCATCGAGCGAGCTTAACTCATTCAAGACTAATGACGTCCGCATCGCCAAACACGAGTCCATCGCCGAGCCAAGCCAACAGGATTTCAAGGAGTAATAGCATAAGGTTTGTACTACTGAATAGTATATAGTTTTAATACAACTGTTACTGTTAAAGTATAATCATCTGAAGTATAGGGCTGAGTAATGCCAAAAAAAAAAATGATTTGTTTTTCTTTGGGAAAATTTAATGCGGTAAATTTATTTGCAGTTACCTAAGAGATCGGACATTTCCAAGGTAGGCGAAACAGCCAAAACGAAAAAAAACAAAATAATAATCACGATTAATACCTAACACTGCATTTATCGCTTGTTTCACTTATAAGTTTTGAAAAAAAAAAACATAATATTGTGTATAATTTTGTTTTTGTACTTTTTTTTGTTTTTTTTTTTTATTAGCTTTTTCACATTTTTTTTATTTGATTAGCAGTATTGTATAATGAAAACAAAAAAACGGTTGAAGTATAATTTTGATTTTTTTTTTAGATCGACCAAATCGGAAAAAATGTATCCGTCGATGTTACAGCGTACAGACGAGCCGGATTCATACTACAGTATTCCTTATACGTCGTCTAACCGATCGGAGCACCGCACTTTTCCTCACGCTTCACAGCCCACAAGTCCGACGCCCACTGGCCGCTATAATTATCAATCGCCTCAACCGAACCATCGTTCGATATTGTCGTCTCCCTACGCTGCATCTATAATGAGCAAAATTAACGGCAAAGACGACGATGGTAAACGAGATACAAATGATAAAAAAAAAAAAATTAAATATTTGGAGCTTAATTTTGAAAAAAATATTACTACATAGTACTGTTACATCTATTTTAGCCCACGGATCGGCTTTGAGTCTGATATCGACTGGATCGTCATCGTTGTACAGTGGAATCGGTGCGGACGAGAAACAGGCGCACGAAGTGAGACGTCTAAGGAGAGATTTGAGCGATGCTCAAGATAAGGTTCATACGTTGACCAGTCAATTGTCGACAAACGTGAGTAAAAAAAAAAATAATAATTATACTAGTTCATTTAATAACAAAACTATAGTGACTATTGCCACCAATCGATTGTGAAAGTATTTCATAAATAATTATTTTACGACTGAGATTGGAGAAATCTTATCGAACCTAAAATAGAGTAAGTTGTGTGCAATAATAAATTCAATTGAAAGTCAACTATTGGTTATTAAATGATTAATCATTTTTAGTTTATGAATCACCAACAAATTAAATTTATCACAAACAAAAACAAAATACTCGTGTATAGCATTATTCATGAATTAAAGGAATAATTGATCAAAAAGAGTTTCTAGTTCTACAGTGTTTTTTTTTTTTTTAAGTGTACAACTAATTTGTAATAATTATGTACTTAAGTAAATTACACAATTGTTATTATTAAAACTATTAGATAAGGATAATAGGAAACAAGCTGAATGTTTCTGATAAATAGCAAATTATAGTAATAAATATTAATATACTTTATAATGAATAGTAATAGTCGGTAATCGTCTCTTCTTTTGGATCAGTGACTCAAATCGATTCCTTTTAATTAAACTTCTTCTCAGTCAGTGATTACTGATTACAATTATAATTTATTATTTCAACCATATTGTAAAACCAAATAATAGGCCAATAGCAACGTAAAGAAAAAAAAATAAAAGGTAATTTTGTTAACGCTGAAAAAATCACAAGACGGAATATTTTGAGAAAACAATTGTATGATTTTATTGAGTAATCATATTTTTTCAATAAGAAGTTAAATTACGTTTGAACTCATCCAAATTTTCAATATAAACGTAACTGTCGTTGTTGTCCTGTAAGCATATTTTCTTTACGGGCGGACTTCTGATGTCGTCTAAACACTCTGGCACGTCTTCCGACTGACAATTTCCGACGATTTCAACGCTAAACGCCCTGCTGTCGGTCAAAAAGCCGTCCCTGAGATTTTTCACATCTTCAAAGCTTAAATTTTTCAACGCTTCTACTTCCAGTTCCAATCTGTCGAATTTAAAACGTTCTTCTAGTATTTCGTTTCTGTTCCTGTTGAACTCTTGTACCAGGCAATCGTCTGGAGCCGTTTTCAGGGCGATCAACGCTTCTTTCACTTTGTCTACTTCGTCGGCATCGTTGAAATCTTTCCAAAAGTCTTTGAGAAATTCATCCATTTTGTCGAATACATAATGCGTTTCAAATTTGTTTTTCTGATGGGCCACTTTGAAATAAAACCCATAATGGTGACGGGTGTTGGTAACGTTGAATTGAACGTCGTAGCCGAGACATTGTTTCGTCCGTAGTTCGTCGAACGCGGATTCTTCTATCATGGACTGCAGCACGTAGTACTTGACGGAGTCTTTTAAGCTGTCCTTATCGAATTGGTAATACTTGTACGCCATCGAGTTGTTGTCTTTCGGATTGTAATTGGCCAACTTGATACGGCTGTCGCCTGGGTTTAGTTTTTTTATCGACATCGCTGGAAACATTTTTTTTTCCAGCGGTTTGTATTGCAAAACGTCTACAACTTTTTCAGCAATACAAACGGCTTGACTTTTGCCAATATTTCCTTGGACCAGCGCTTTGCAATAGAATTCGTCCATTTGCCTGTAAAATGCAATAAGACTGTTGTAATCTAAATTTTTCAGACTGTGTAACCGTTTGTCCAAATCCCAATCGGGATCTTGTATTAAACTGTTTTTCAAATCGCACGACACAAAATCCAAATCGTATTGGTTGTTTTTCAGCCTGTTAACGGATTTGGGTTTGACCATTTCGAAAATGTCTTCGGTCATTAGTCGCTCGTAGTTTTTTATGCAATCCATTACGATGTCGACGAGCAAATGTAGTTTTTCATTGAAACCGACAAATGTCAGTTCGAACCCCGTGTGGAACACTCGAACGCCGTAACTGAGTTGAGCCATCGCTGCCGGATAAGTGTCTTCGTTCAGTAGAAACACAATAGAGTCCATGAGTAAATCGAAACACATGTAGTTCTGTAATGATTTCAAAGGCAGTGGCGTTATGAAGTTTAACATTATGTAACCCTTGGGCAGTTTAAAGTTGGCGTCTTGTTTGAACCATAATTCGATAAATTTGTTTTCAAATATTTTCTGAGGGTATTTGTCGTCCGTGACGAGCGGTAACATTGAAAAATCTGTCGTTAAATATGGATTGTTTTTGGGAATTTTAAAATATTCATGCGGCTTTATGGTCGACAAATTGTTTTCCCATTCTTTGCTTACGGTTTCGGCCAAGTATTGCGTTCCGAAAATGGGATCTTTTGTAAACGACTCGAAACCGTCAAATTCTTTGGCCAAAATAAATACTGCAACAGTATCGGACGATAATAGATTTAAAAACTTGGAAACGGTTTGCGATGAATACTCGTCGTATAAATATGGGCCGCACAAATAATCTTCTTCGTCGTATAACAACATGTTTTCCGAAAGTTCAGTAACGTGGTCTATGGCGGATTTACTTTCGGCAAAATTAAAATCATTTCTGGCTAAAATTTGTAACTGTTTGAAAACATCCTCGGACACGCCTTCCTCCCTGACTAAATTCAAGTAGCCGAACGTTAATTCTATTACGTCCTGTACTTTGGTCAAGCCGAAGCTTGTCAGTTCAATAGTTATTGTGAATAAACTGTAAATACTGTTGTTTGAAAAATCGTCATCTACTCCGGCTTCCAAATCCATTGCGTAATTAAATTTTCTCAAGTAGCTAATCAGTGTGCCTTTGCCCTCGTGACCTATCACCCACGATAGGTACTCCAAGGGTTTGAATTTATACAATTTGTTTACAGGCGGCAAACACCAAGACAATATTAATTTTTTCGTAGAACTCACGGAAACGATTTTGGTCAACCTGTGAAAACGACCGCGAACAAATGGTTCCGAGTTAGCGTTAAACGTCGGCGGCGGTTCGTTATCCGTAGGAATATTACTGAACAAGTCGTCAACCCATCGGATCATCTCGTGGGTTGGCTGCTTGCTTTGGACGGCTAGAGTCATGCGGCTAGCAGAATAGTGTTTTTTCCAAAAATCGACAACCATTTGACTTAAATTTTCATGTTTCAAACTGTCCAAATTGCCCCAAAAAAATTGTCCGGCCGGGTTGGTTTCGTCTGCGCACATCGACAACAATCTGATGAACAAACACAATGAACAGTATTATTTCTGTAATTATTTTACCTCGTCATTAACTTTACTATACCTTTGGATACGGCTATCGTCGTCGGTGATTGCCATTTGAAATTCAGAATCCACTACTTGTTTTTCTTTGTCTATAGATTCTTTTGCTAACTTTGGTGCCCGAAACATGCTTGCGAATATGTCTGCCGCTTCTTGGAAATATTCACTAGGAACTTCGAAATGAAAATTTGTGTACTCACAGCAGGTTTCGGCGTTTGAATAGCCCGCGTTGCGATATAGGAAACGATCAAAGTGATTTTCCGCCGGGTAACGATCACTGCCCATAGATATCATGTGTTCTAATAAATGAGCCAATCCTTGAGCTTCGACCGGGTCGCTGAAACTACCAATATTAACACACAACGACATTGCACACGAATCTGTTGCTTGTGCAGTTTCTTCTTCGTCTTGGTCATTTAAACTGGAATTTTCGGACAATGAGTCATCGCTGTTGTCGTATGTAGCTTGCGCACTTGAACTGTTTTTGCATTCCGTATCTGGCACACTAACGAGTAAACATCGCATACCGTTCTTCAGCTTGTGGAATAAATAATCTTTTTTATTACCCAAGCCTTTACGAATAACTTTCTGAACGTTGGACATGGTTTTTTTTTTTCAGTGTATAATGTAATGTAACAAAATGCTATGACTAGATTAGCTAAAGCTATGTGTTAAATGTAAAAAAAAAATTGTAAAACAATTATAATAAAAATATTATTTAGGAATGCCGAGTAAAAATACTCAATAATAATATTAAAAATTACAATTTAAAAAATTGACATGTGATAATTGATAAACAGCATAAAGTGATAATAACATACAGTCATATTATGCGGCGAAATGATAAACGATAAGGAAATACAGTGTGACCAGTTGTGTACTTGTAACGTTGCTTACACTGCGGGTGGTGATTTTTTTATTGCAATATTATATTGGAATATAATGTATTGTTTTGTAAAAATTTTAATTCTTTCGACTTTCGTTAATCGTAATAGGTATTTTCATATTTATTTTCAAGTCTAGGTTAATGATCTAAGATATATATATATATATATATATGTATTGCATTATATTATATTAGTAAATAGTACACTAAAAGAACTCAGAACTCACAAAATAAAAAGGTATTTTAGTTTGGGTATTTCATATTTGATTTGATTTGTTCAGAAACGGGCTTCAGTAAGTGTTTTCATTATTAGATCTATTTTAACTATGTTACAAACTCTTCTAATAGACCCTTTGTTGTTCAGAACAGAGGAAACCATATTATATTTTAACGAGGGTGAGTTCTTTTGAAACGGTTGCCGGGTGTGGTTATTACAGTGTGTCGTGTCTAGGTCCTATAAGGGAAATAATTACCAAAACAAAAACACTGATGGCATGGAAAATGTGATTTGTATTTTCGTTTTCATTAACAAAATGGTATTGCGGATATTTTTACAACAGTCTACAAAAACAAAGGAGACGACAAATATTGTCGTAATTAATTAATTATTATTCGAGTTGATTTGTATAGTATTTTTTTTTTATTTGATTATTAAAATAGGTACTTGACGTTTGTATCATAATTATATTTAATATATAAATAATTGTGCGTAGACAATGTTTTTTGTAGCTTGTATAGTTATACAAAATATGACTGATAAACGCGGTTTTAATTACTTTAGAATATAAATACAATTCAGTCATACTAGAATAAATGGATTGAATGTGAATGGACGATGAAAAAATAATATTGTCATTTATTGCTTACCGAGACTTTTATTCGATTTACAACGTGCCGAGTAGTTTATTAAGAGTAGTAATTAAAATCGCATTTCAGTGAAAATAATATCATAATATGTTTAACTCGTCGCTGCCGTGTATGTCTTTTAGTCGTTTATGTGTTATTATTATTTCTTTTTCTTTTTATTCCATAAAAAATGTGTTCAACAATGAAAAAAAAAAACCGGCACAGAGTAGTTAACCGTATAAAATACCGTACTCTCATTGTCAACTGCATGCTATGTGATGTCCGTCAAAGCCAATTTAATTCATAATCCCTAGTGTTCAATAACCTCAGAGCCGTTGATCGTCGTCAATGACCTTTCCCTTATTATCGTTTGATAAAAAAAATATAATTGTATATATATATATATATATATATATCTATATACAATACGGTTAAGCGCATACCAATAGGCCATTGCATGAGTCTAGGGTTGCCAACTTTCAAATTGTGTAACGTAAGACAATATTTTTCCATATAATATGTCCAAGCGGTCAAAAGGGAGGCCCAAATTATATATTAATATATTATAGATAATAATTATATTTTTCAGATTTCTTGGTGATTTGTTTGCCACTCTAATTAAATCTTAAATGTATACTTTAAACGTACATCGGATACAGAATTGGGTGTATAAAAAAATTTAACAAATCCGATACAAGCGATTTAGCTAAATATAAATAAGTATTTTTTCAATTTTTCATAGACTACACTATATTATAAGGACACATAACTGGCATAAAGGACTGTCCTGCCCAAAGAAGGACGGTTGGCAACCCTTCAGTTAAGACTGGTGGTGGTAATGTTGCTTACAATACCTTTTTTGGAAATTTAAGAAAATGTTTAAAACCAACACGGGTAGAAAAAGGGTTAAACTTTTTCCACATTTGACATTATAAAGTTTATCCTGCACCCTATTTTTATACATTAATGTATACCTACATAAACGCTTAAGACGTTTGTCATATGAGATTGCCTATTCGACGCCAACCACATTAGACACCGACCCGCAGCACTTAAAAACTGCATTGCAGATTAGATTGCATATAAACCGCCTCGACCTCTGGCCTATTGCAGTCGTTTACGGGTGAATAGTATTTTTTTATTTTTATTATTATAATATCTGTACCATTTCTCTCACTCTGTTGCCGCCGAGTTGCACCAGATATTTACACAGAGATAAACTGAGTTTAACTGGAGTTACAATAAATTATGTTGCATAAACCATGTTTTAAATTTTTTGTTGATGTTAAAAATGTACTTAATTCACGAGTTAAATATTAGAGCTGTCATTTATCGCTGTGTAAAAAAATGTATGTATAGTCAAATTGTGTTATCAATGTTTTGCGTTAAAGTGGTGATATCGGAAATGTGCGTTATCAGTTTATCATTGATTAGACCCTATATGGTAATAATATTAACTCCTACCGCTGTTACCATTTATTCGGTAACCAGTATACTGGTAATAACCTGTCATGTATGTCGCTAACTGTGTGCCACCCATACCGAGTCACATACTAAAATATAGACTATACAGTGTATAAACCAAAGGGCAAAGCTATTGCATTGACTATTTTTTATTTTTCCACATAATATCATTGAACTATGGCGAAGGTCCTTTTGATGTGTTCTTATAGTACATACTTTGGCTTCGATTAGAAGGTGGTTTTTTATGGCCTTGTGTAGTGCTCGGAGGCACACAAGGGTCTAAGAAAAATCACCATTGTATTATTTCTGGTTGATAAATTCATTTTTCCAGTTGTGTAACTATGAAGTTATAATAATATTATGTTCATAACACCAATTAAAGTAATTATTATCATAAATAGTTTTTAATAACCAGTTAATCGTGTGAACAGCATATTATTATAATAATGATTGCTCGTGAGATAAATGATATAATATACTATACACAACGGGTTTTATTATTATTTATTTTTTTCCAAACAAGGCGTTTACAATTATTTGATGTGATATTTTTTTTTTGTAATATTAAGTTTAAATTCGAGTTAAAGTGTGTCTCTGTTGGCCTACTTGTTTTATTCTGTCAATTTGTCACAATTTTGTATAACTTAGGACCCATTCTTAGGTAAGAAGTTTTAAACCCATTGGAGCTTTACTGTGTTGTGTGAGTAAAAAAGCAGAGGGTACAACTCAAAAGTAAGGTTTGTGTAAAACTATCTCCTTGTCGATGGCGGTTTAGTATTTCGACTGTTACACAACACCAGAGAATAGGATTCCTCGCTGATGATTACACCACTGTCGAAACCAAACAACCCAGAGGCACATTATTAATATTTTAATGATACAAGCAACACCAAACCCGTTTTAAACCAATACCGATCGATGGCTAATAAACATTTATTTTTTGACGGACCTCATCACACTTTGTGGTCGTTCAGGTAGGATTCAAAATCTTGTTACCTTGTGCCTGGTGTACAGAGTGATTCAGAAGCTAAACCAAACCCAATGGTAACCAGTAGTGTACACATCAGGTGAAAATCAGGTTATTATAATACCTTTAGTTATTCTGGTAGTCTCTGATTATCTAGTGTGCACAATGTCCAATAGTGATTTTTGGATAATGTCTTCATAAATCAGATTACAACACAATATGTTGAACTCAATTCTAACAATAGTATAATATGAAGATCCTTAAGGGGTAAAGACAAAACCAGAAGTCACTTTCTAAAATGTCTACTGAACCGATTTCAAACATTTTGTTTTTGTTATAAAGTTTAACAAATGTTACGGTGTTATCTGATAAGAGAAAAAAGTGTTACAAAACAAATATCACGCTGTTATCTGATAAGAGATAAGAGATGCGGGATGGGGCATAATAACCACCACATCGTTGGATCTCTAATGTTTCAAAAGAAAATATATTGCAAAATCGCCTTAAGAAATGGGTTTTTTTTATCTAAAACAAAGTAGAGGAAATAATATGTCTCGAGGAGATTGTAGCGTTGATTATAATAATATATTATTTATAAATATGATGTCAGCGAATCGCTCTGTATACCAAGTGGTGGCAACAGAGATTCCGGTTTCGATTAAAACGATATATACTACTGATAATAATAATAATAATATTCTCGTTAACTTTTTCAACGTCTTATCTTACCCGGCTGCGTGAATTGTAATTTTTTTTTTGTAAGATGAAAATAATAATAATATGTAGAGCGTTTTGACTTAATTACACACTAGTAACATTGACTGTTGCTCTGCTGACGGACAGACCGTGAAGTCTCAAGTCTTGTGTGTGTATTTACTTACTAAAACGAGGCGGCCAGGTGTTGTTTTCCTCAGAGACTCGTTTGCTGGCGGTTTTAAGCGAGGCATATCATCATCATCATCGTCGTTATTGTTATTATGTTGTCTAAAGACCAAAAATTACCATTGTATAGCTGCTGGTCCCGCCAGTATAGCATTGGTAATATTTAAAACATACCTACCTCTACACGGCTCCATTCGGTTTTGGAGGAATTTTTTTAAAATTATTATTATTTATATTATTCTGTTGGCGCGTGTCGATAGTGTTTTACTTTTATTATAATATATCATCATTTCGGTGGTAAGTACAATGTCGACGATAAACCCGTTTTTATTGAGGAAGTGCTGCGGTAGTGGCAAAACAATAGCCGTTGAATTAATTGAGGAAGAAGGGAACAATATATTATATAGATTTAAATGCCCTAAAATATGTACAACTATGTCACGTCCATCTAAAAATAAGAGTTTCCAGTTTTAACGCTATAAAAACCACTAAAACTTGTTTTTTTAATTTTTTTTTTACAAATTTGGAGACTTTTTAAAAATGATTAAACTTGCCAGGAAAAACCCCTGAAAGCAGCTTACTTGGTTACGCGATACCCCTAAGGAGTATTTACAATCTTAATTTAAAGCTTAAATTATAATGTGCAATTATTAGATTAGTAATAAGAATTCTTCTATTAACATAAATTGTTTTTTGTCTGACCGATTTTCGTCACGCTTTATATTGACA